CTTAATCGTGCAGAAACGGCTTGTTGAGTTACTCTCAATGCTTCTGCAAGCTCCTTTTGCGTTTGACTCTGATCTTCTTCGAGTAATGCCTCTAATTCTTTGTCTTCGAATTTTTTTGGCTGTCCAGAACGAGGCTTGTCTTCAACGCTGAAATCTCCATTCTTAAAACGTCGAAACCATTCCTTACATGATTTATTAGTTGGAGCAGTGTCACCATAAACTTCGACAAGCATTCGATGAGTTTCAGCTGCACTTTTCTTCCAATTAAAGCAGAAAATTAGAACCTCCCGCAAATGCTGCTTGGTTAACACAAAATTCGACATTTCAAACACAACAAAAATCAAGGTTTTTGTATGAAACTCAAAGCGATATAACTGAATATTATTAGCAGATGTCTAACCTCTCTGAAAACGCCAAAATCAACTGTCACTATAAACCATTCACAATAGCCGGAGTCATCTTTTGGAAAACGGATCGAACTAATTTGTACTCCCAATATGTTTATTTTGAATTAGGACTTTGAATAATATCAGTTACTTTTCATGGTAATATATGTATATTGTTACGTTCAGAGGACTCCACGATTTTCTCCTTTCGTGGAAAAATTATAATTGTTTTTTTTTGCGTAATTAGAAAATAAGTAATTTTTTATTTAATATAGTAAACTAAATACTGATAAAGTAATTAAAATTCAATTTTTCTAGCGACAAATTTAGGGCTCAGAGTTAGCCAAGCCACGGGGGCAGAAGGTCAATTGTTACCCAATAAATCTTTTGCATTAAAGCTTTATTTACCAGTATTTGACGTTGCTCGCGCGCTTCCGGAGTTAAATAAGACTAATTAAAAAGATCTATCAACCCGATTTCTCCAAGTGTCCAATTCCTAGAAGACGATCACGATCAATGATCTACTGCCAAAAACAAAGAAGGGCATATCGTCCTCGCGAATATAAATATGAGGCCTCTTTGAGGAATACAGTCAGTTAGTCAGTCAGTAATACACCACCAATTTCGCTGTAATTCCGAAACCATAGTCTCGGTTAGTGCATGAAGTTCTCCCGATCGGTTGTATAAAACATCGTTCCTGAGCCGGTCTCTCTTAATATTCAAGACCAACTTCTTTAAGGGCCTGCACTACCAGCCCCGCCTTCTGATCTGATCGCTTAAGAGATTCATTACCCCGTTGTCTTTAACAGAATAATTAATTCCTCAATATTTCGAAAAACATTTTTTATTAGTACGAAACGAATCATCACAGACATTTCCGTTTTTCCACTTCCATTCATTTCCGGGCTCTCTCATAAAACCATTCTTTTCCATATTTGTTCGAAGCAATTAATTATATTACTGAAATGTTTCGAATAGGTTATACTCATTTCTCCTGGTTACATGAAGCGCTAAAATGCTTTTCGTAATTCTCTATCGCGATTACTCGAAGGTGCTTTGAGTAGTTATCTCTCTTTACCACTTCACTTTTACTTGGAATGGTAGAGCGCTTCAAGTAATTCATTCTTATTCTTCCTATTACATAAAGCGGTAAAATGCTTCTCGTGATTATTTGAAGTGGTAAAGCACTTCGAGCGATTACATTTCCTTATTCTTCCTATTGTATGAAGCGTTAAAGCGCTTCGAGTGATTCATACTCATTCTTTCCCATTCCATAAACGATAAAACGTTTTTCGTAATTTCTCGCTTTTTCTTTCTCTCTCGTAATTACGTAAACTGTTTCGAATGGATATCTCTCTTTACTATTTCATTTATTTGAAGCAGTAAAACTTTCATTCTTTTCGATTACATGAAGCGCTAAAATGATCTTGCAAATTCTTCTCTCTTTCTCTCTCTCTCTCTCTCTCTCTCTCTCTCTCTCTCTCTCTTTGGGATTACTTAAAGCGATAGAACGCTTTGAATAATTCACTCATTTTTCGATCTCTATTATTACTCGAAGTGATGAGGCGCTTCGAGTGATTCAAATCTTTTCATTTTTTTTGTTTTTTCCTTTTTTCCCTTTTTTTCTCACTTATCTCTTCCAATGCGAATATTCTTCAGCAATTTTGATATCATAACTTCTTAAATTAAAAGAGAAATTTCTAATGTAGATGGTAAAGCGCAATCGCCATCGGGCGGATCAAAAAAAGCGAGCTAAAATTGAGGCACTAAAAAAAAAGGGATAATATAATTGTTAAAATCCAGTCGGGGACTTTTATCTCCAAAGAGACCTGTGGTCAGCTAGAGAAACTCTATAAAAAACTGATAATTCAAGAGAACTCCTCACCCTCAGCAATCCTTGAGGTGGATTTGACGGGACGATCCTCCATCCTTATATTTCGAATTTCCTTCCCCTTCTTACTCTTCTATCCTAACAGACTTCCCACACTCCGCAATTCCTCCTCTTTCTTCCCCATCCCTTCTGACAACAGATC